TTCCTTCCCAATCCTCCACTTAACATTCCATCTACAGTACTGTATTTACCCACCAGTTTATGAGCTCCCGCCCCCAATGCGCAGCTGCTAACCCCACCTCTCCGAATGAACAAAACTGTGGCAGCTACAACCACTGTACCACAAGTACTCGGTTATTACAGCTGACAATGATGATGATGATGATGATGATGACATGATGTTGCTGGACAACAGGGTGAATTCAACACTTGTGCTCTTTTGTTAGACAGGTTACATTTCCGGTAGCGTTTCTCGGCTTGTCAGTATGTTCCTGCATTCTTCAAAGTATGCTGAGCCATAAAATGGTGGTTCATGTTTAAAATCTCCATGAAGCAATGAGTGTGTCCTGGACCCACAGGATTAGGTTACTACGTAGAAGGAAAGCAGTGAGTTTTGAGCTTATAAGTGACAAAAATTTTGCATTTTTTGTATCAAAGCTTAAAGTGAGTCAGAAGTCAGTAAACCGCACACTGAGAACCAATATATCTATTTTTAAATGCATGAATATAATTGGTCACTGCTTTAGCAAATCACGTTCAGATACAAGAAAGAGACCAGCTGTACGTAAGTGCTTTTGTCGTTACCTTTATAGTTTGGACGTAACCAAGAAACCTCAGATTTTGCTGCCATCGGTCGCTTCAGTAAAATTCGTTGACAGCCAAAGAAAATCTTCGTCAGGTTACTCTGGAGTTACGTTTGATATCCTCACCGATATACACATTTTGCTGCGGAGATGAATTGATTGTAGTCCTAGGAAATCGCGCTATCATATTACATAGTCATGAAACTCAACCCTACTCACTGTTTGCACTACGATTACCAGGCAACGCTTACAACACAGGGAACAATCCATTATAATGTTTTGCGCAATAAGTTGTGAGATACTACCGGTGGAGTTTGAGTCGGTGTCCTTTAGTTTGCGTCCCTGAAAGCGATGCAAATTCATCGGTATTGCTATCAACTGAGTAAGACAGTTGATTTTGCAATTCTCAGCTTTATGATACAGTAAACGAAAATCACAATGATCAAACAACAATATATGTGAAAAGTTTAACGGAGCATCGCAAGACTGATATGTTTTCTGCTTGGATAACATTAACCAGGAGGTTACCTCCATGTTTCGTAATACAGAAACGGGAACAAATTGGGGAGCATAAATACTGGTTGTAAAGGGTCGCTTTTAACTCTTTAGTCATGACCATGTATATGTTCCAGGCAAAAAGGACAATAGGACTCAGCATTAATGCTCAGAATATTCAGCTAAAAATCCTGTACTTACTGAGGCCTATTATCCAGCAGCCATTAAAAATAAAGCCCTCTGACCTCTGACTGATTGGCTCAGCAGAATTATTGACATAAAAAAGCTCCATTTACAAAATGAAGGGAGTAGTAAGAACTTTTTTTGGACACACTTCAGTAATGGTTGTGTTAATAAAGCAACACGCTTTCCTTACTCCAAAAACCGTCAGTGTCCCGCATGTGTGTCTACACATGTATTCATCAAAACGTCTGGTAATATTGACTTTTACTTGCTGCATTAGATAACTTGAGTGCAGTTCACAAGCTGACTAGCGAACTTAGTCTCTTTGGTGAGTGCTGGATACGTACGTGATCCGGGTTCTTTTGGCTGGACTGTATGATTGACGCAAGGTGATTCATGGCGATTTTAGATGGTGAAGTTCATACTACGTAGCCTACGGTCACATGAAATCATGTGCTACTTTTTAGTGTTACTTTCAAACTGTGACATAGTGGCCGATGATTACTCCTTCCAGGGGGATTTCAAACAGTCTGAATGAGGAGATTTCATCTATACGCCCTCAAAGCACAGATATAATGCCATCATTTGAGGCTCCTATTTGTTATGTGTTAAATTTGTAATTAAATTCTGTGATCAGAGGACATTATTTTCTTTTACATTCTATGAACTATCAGCGTGATGTTTACTGTTAACATTATATCAAATACTCAATGTATTTGGATTGAGTGTATGCTTCTATTAAGCCTGAAGCGGCTAGTTGCCTGAGAGAATGGCTGGATAACGCTCAGACTCAGTCGCTACTAAACGTATGAATACGTCGAGCAAATCACTGAGTACTCAGAGGTCTTAATTGAGCAACATCGAAACTATGTCGTTGGTATACTGACTATCTTGTTGGTCATTGTTGTCCTAACTCTATCAGTTCCATAAATCTACCTGTGGACCGACCAAGTTAGGTGACTCAAAATCGCAACCATAATGATAGTTGCTTAGGAGGATTTTCTACTCTTCGAGAACTAGGCTGGTGGGAGTGCGGAGATAAAGGACAGGTAGGGTGACGAAAAAGTTGACCAGCATTTCTATGAAGGCTATAAGACAAACTTTGCTCTAGTATTAAGATGCAAGTCAACAAAGAGATAGTCCGCATCAGATTTAGCCTCCTGAATCAAACCATAAGGATCCGANAAAGGATCCGGAGAGCGGTTGGTTGGTCTCAAGCGCAGTTTTGTTTCATGGATGTTGTGGGACAGCAGGAGCGTATTTTATGTTGCTTACAATTCAGGCTACAACACAGTCGGTTATGATGCACAACCAATTAAACTAGGATTCCCAAATATGATTTGGAAATTTAATCGCCTAAGACGGTCTGTTGTGAATCAGACCGAAACCAAACTCACGTGGCTGTCAGGGGTGAATTGCCACTCAAAAGCTCTGAAAAACAGCAGTGACATATTATCAGCTCAAGAATCACCAAAAGCAAAGCATAAAGAGAGTTCGGTGATATGGCAGTTTACTAGAGACATTCTTTTTTTATACGACACAAAGCGACTTCCACTGTATTTCGTGGTAAACTATTTACCATCATCTCATGCGTTATTAAAACTTCCTTTGAATTCTTTCATATGAGAATAGACGAAACAAATGCTGTCGTTCAAAATGCCATGTAGACGTGGAACGAAACGCTGTACGAAACAATGCAAACTTCTAAGACTTTTGTGGGCGCAATATATAAGGGTTCAGGCCTCATGACCGCGTTACACACTGGTAATTTGGAGGAATAGTTCAAGTGAACATTTCAGTGGATTTGAGTGGGAAAAAGAGACAAGACTTCTATTAGCTTGTTAATTGGAAAGGCATTTTTAGTGAGGAGATTCATTTTAAGCCAAGGATTTTAGTATTATTCCTCGTGGAATTTCATGCTTACCATGTTGAGTCGGTATTTCTCAGGACGTGATGTAAGCACATCTAGTTTACTGCATCGCCTTCGTAGCTATGGTAACGCCTAGATGAAATATTTATTGTGTTTGAATTAAAATTTTGGTCATTGCCTAAAAATAGTGCTGACGCATATTGTTCAGAAGAAAGAGTTTAGAGTATGCGGGCTTACTTTCATTTGGAGACTACGAATCAGTGATGCATAACCTAGTGTTCTACTTCTCCTGTTGTGTTGTGGCCGCCAGTTGTTATGGGGAGAATGGTTTTATAAACCCATATTTTCAAGTAAAAAATTAGGTATCGGGTCAAGTGGACATTTTCATTGATATACGATGAATAGACTGGGTAACCCGTTTAAATTAGCTGGAGCCTTTTAGGCACGGAATTCGGAGCAAATAAGAACATACACCTTTCACCCGACGTCTATTGAGTGACGTCTATAGCTGGAGGTGCTTGAAACGCAATGTTATTTAAGATTCATACGGTAAACTACCTACAAGTTTGGTGAAAACTCATCGATCGTCCACGGTCAGTTTTGCAGCACATTCAGTAGAAGAATAGCAAGAACAAGAGATTCAGTTGAGTCTACTGTGAAAAAAAATTGATTTGCATTTGAGTGTACTTGTGGTTAAGGTTTATTGAGCGGACAGTGATGATGCTTTTCGTTTTGAGGTCACGGGCTTGGTAAACTTAGGCAGAAACATTCAATATAAAAAACACAACGAATTCTTTCGTTGCACTTTAGCTAGATAGAAAGACAGGAGGATTTACGTAATTCTTCCAGGTTGCGCTTCTATAAATAGGTTCAGTTTGTGACTCTCCTTTCCTCTTAGTTGATTTTATACGATTGGTATGGCCATCGATTGCGTTTCTAGATATCACGAGTGAGAAATGTACAAGAGCTAAAACCCTATGAGGATCAGAGGGAACTGGTGATTTGGTAACCTAATTAAGAATTTCCGGCAGCTGATTCTCGACAAGACTGCCAATTGGCGACCCCGACTTGCCCCTGGGTGGAAAATACAGTGACGAATGTAAAACGGAGTCTCTCAACTAGATGGCTTCTACTTCTCTGCACCCAGGAACACATAAATGTAGTAATCGTTTCGAGAATGTGGATCCATTGTTATGTGCGTTGCAGTAATGAATAGCTTGTGTTTCCTTTTACAAAGTGGTTTACCTTAAATCGTCATTTTCGGTGCGCACTAGAGCGAAATGCGAACATCCATGCGAAAATGGTTCTTTGAAAATTCCAGCTGAACAACTCACACTCCAACGCCCTGGTACCTTTCAGTAAACCTTAATATAAATGTGAACATTCTAAGTTGAACTGGACTACCGGGTCAAGTTCAGAAAAAAGGCCGGCCAATTTCATTCGCAGTAACCCACATACATTTCATCGGAACATCCTATCTTCAGCAACAACCTGGTCAAACCTTGTTGAGAAATATTTGCTTTACATGTAATTGTGTGAAAATCTCACCACAAGCAATGAAACACGTGAATCCCACTCACTTTTTTTAACCAGTCGTTAGAATTACCAGATCGATCGACAAAAGCTGGTGTCAATCTGGTTCTAGGTTTACACATACTTGTGTGCACATATCTGACGACACAAAAAAGAACTCAGAAGTTCTTATGAAGCCAAAGAATTGCACGAGACTTAGGTTCATTTGCGCACCAATTAGTTTGCTGCGACAGACTCCAACTAAACTATTGGCTAGTGGGTAGACCGATCTTATTGACGGACCCGGGTAGAAAAGCGCGGCGTACACGGAGACCGAAGTTGGAGAAATCACTAATTAAGATGGATAATTACGTGGAACAGTTTCTTGATATGGACCCAGAACACAAAGGTAGGCTTCGATTGTTACCCAATAATTCTGTGCAAAAGCTGTACATCGACATTTCTCTATAAGGGTGTTAAAGTTGTGTCAGCTTTGTTAAACCAGTCTATAGTTATGTCTCACTGCGAATAGGAAGGTGTGAAACTGGTGGAATTGTGATGAAGATTCAAGTTCAGTGGTGAACAACCGGGTTTTTTTAAAATATGAATCGGCTTATTCGTACTCAACCCCTACACACCCGTGTTACTGACAGTGCATAAGAAGAACTGGAGAACTTGATCACTGCCGTACCAACAAAAATCTATTCCGAGACTCAGAAAATCTCATCTCTTGATGAGCTCATAGAGATAATCTGATGAGGCCAATTACAAGGGGGTAAGAAACGGATTCCTCGCCATCTTTAGTTAGGATAAATAAGGTGCAGAATTTTTAGCAGGCTAGTAGCCTAAACTCAAAATTTGGAACTATGTGCAGTCTCAAAAGGACCCATCTTTGAAACTGAAAATGTAGCTTAGGGTTATTCACATGCAAATTACGCTCGTTGTTCGTAACAGAGAATCTTATGGAAGTTTGTATCATGCTGGGTAAACCTGTCTTCTTTGTAATTGCAATTAGTGCCGTTAAGTGCAAGCTGTTTACTGTTTCATTTACAAGAAACCCCACGCCATTCAAAAGATAGAACGCATTTTCGAAATTCTTGATTGTATTCGGTCAAGTGAAGTGGACGAAAATGTGACAGCAATTCACCAAGGAAATTTAATCCACATCATTTCAATAACAACACTAGATGTCTCCCGGAGATAACTTAGGTACAAGTTGTCAGTGTTTTTTTTCCTTTTTCAATAGAGTATATTTGCATGGAAGATCTACGAAAATTTAAACAGAGGAAGCAATTCCAAGATGACTTCGTACAGGTGAGTTGCTGATTGACCTGATGAATCATTAGCCCGCTCAAAATTCTTTCATGCATTCACAACCCTGTGTTAATATCCCAAAAAGGGCTTGGCTCACTGGGGAGCGCACGCTTTTTTTCGTAGAAATCTGCGTATACTTGGTCTTCTTTAGCGCCCATGTCACACAGCACTTAAGATCTGCCTCCACCGAGCCGACGGGTGTAAACGCCATAAATGAGCTAGGTTTCTGTCTAATGTAGCCTCGTTTTTGACCAGATGACATGAGTTACTGTTCTGACAATAAGACCCACCTTATATGTTTCATTACCTTATCCGTGAATGTTAAAAATTTCAATGTTTGTCAACAGATTAGAGCGATCGCATGGACTCAAATTAAGAAGAAGAGGGTGAGAACGGATCAGAGATAGGTGGCATGGTGATCATACGCTGTGTAAAGTAAACGGTATAAAGAAAATAGTTACTGAAAAGTCGAAAATCAAAGGGTTATATATATGGGGAATTCCACAGTTGTTTATTCTTTGTTGAGTGTGTGCCTATGGACGCATGATGAATGCTTGAGGACGTGAATAGCTTAACTCTAATAAACTTCTGATCAAAAAAAGCAAAACATATTTGGGAAATTGATGTATCCATGCTCCCAAGGCAAACAAAACCTCAGGCCAATCGTGACAAAATTAAATAAACAATGGACGAATGCTCAAATGACTGAAATATACCTTCGTCACTTTAGCAGATTGATATTTACCCAGCTTTAGATTAGTATATGGGGTTTTCTGCACGCACTCTAAAATTGAAATTGTGGTCAACCATTCTTCGGCGGTTTTTATGGAAGGAGAATCTTCCAGAAGTCGTCCATGTTACCAGTCCTGAAGCTGAATTTATTCTCAATCACCAGATTCCAACATGTTGCACCTACTCAAAAGCCGCGACCGTATGGGTTTGATGGTGCTAAATAAAGTCAGAACTAATTCCCATACCGATTATTATCGTTGTCAATAGCGGGATTTCGTGGCTAATAACTATGCTTGAGTGTCATGAAATTCAGGATGAAGTGGTGACTCAATTAAACGAACTGCTCCGTTCGTTGCATTTCTTAAAAAGGATTGGTCGCAATCTACCTTGCAGTTGGTTCTTTTGCACAAGACCCTGAAATGTGCGCAGCTTTTCGTGCTCCAATTGCCCTCCTGTTTCGGGACAAGAAACAAAGACGAAACTTGACTAAAGTGCACCCTCATGTGACTGATCCGTAGTCAGAGCAACACCTTTGTGAAATGAATTCAGTTGGCACAGTCTTGCTCTTTGCAAGTCATATAAGGTGAAATGTGATGGGCGGAATAACAAACACGTCGAATGAGAGTGGCTTTGGGTCAACGGGAATCGGTCAATAAGAAAATGGTAATGTCGATGTAACGCACAAATATTTCTGGGTTGATCAAACAATAATGTCCTGAGAAATTTCATCAAGCCTGAACTTAACGCATTACTTGAACCTTCCGACATCATGAACGAGAAATTCGGTTGGATTCGGTTTAATATCTCATTAGCATCAAATTCGTATGCGAATGCGAACAGCTGTCGAATCTTCAGTCGGCTACACCTATTCGATGTCCCTCTACGGGTTAGCTTCATCAACAAATTTGGTCGCAGCCGTTCGTATCATATTGGACGAATCAGGATTCTAGTGATCATCCCTAGAGTGAATTTCAAAGGAGACGAAATTATTCAGGAGCTGGTGGCCGTTGGTTCACCTAGCCGCGATATAACAGCCATACCACGGTTTACGGCGAGTACAGTGGTTCGGACTGCTTACTGCCAGCATACCTCTGAAATCATTCATTGCATACTCTCTAACTTCAGCATCCGCTTTACTTTCACACGATAAAACACATTACGGAGACAAATAGTTCACAAGAAAGACCCGCTTAGGCCCGATAAGCGTACCAACTCTGTTTAGAGGATTAATGTACCAATTGTGACTGTGTTTAAACTGAACGAATTGAGCAAACAGCTTTGGTTTCGAATCAGTGAAATAGACGACACTTCCGGCTGCTCTGAGAAACGCGAGAAAAAACCTGAACTGAATGGAGTGCTATTTACCGATTGCACTCTATGCGTTAGCAAAAAACCATCGGTTCAGCTTTCTTAACGTGTATATACTGCGGCAAAATCTTGATGTATTCATTGATGTACTCGCTGTACTCGCTGATGTATTCATTGATGTAGTTCTCACGAGGCTTTAATGGGCTGAAAGTCTGACAGTGTTGGTTTGTCTGCCATTTAGTACAGCCTAGTACATCATACAGGTGCAAAAAAAGCACGAGAACCTGCACGTGACATGAGGATTCATTTGTATTGTCTGGTGTGGGGCAAATACTCGGGCGAAAGAACTTACATGGCAATCTCACAAATCATGGCACACTTGACCTTATGTTGAGAAGAATTAGGTCAGCCTTACGGATAGATTTAATGTAATTCATCTCTTTCTGATCAAGTACATTTTGTGTGAAGGTTGGACAGTTTCATAAAATACATTCACTGCGTAGTCACCAACCTTTTCAGTACGAAAGCAAGTTATCATTCACATCACGAAGTATTGCAGGAGTGTTTTTGGCGAAAATCCCTTGGCCTGAGTCTCAAGCCTGTCGTACGTTTTACTAAGTCTCATCGCAACGCTGAGTGAAATAGTGGGAAGGTGGCTGATGGTAAAAAAAGAATTTGGCTTTTAGGTTTGCAACACTGAAATATTTTCTATGTGATAACTTATGATGGTAACTTGAGTAGCGTGACACAGTAGTTTTGTAACAGTAGTAAACCCGTTATCTATTTGGCTGAAATTATGCATTGTCCCTGGTGTGCTGAATTTCAAGGAATACCGGTTTTCTTGAGCCAATTTTCTTACTTACATTTGTGCACTTCCCTAGAGATAATCATTCGGACTTTACGCAAATTTCAGTAGCTAAATCAACTTATTTTCTGGTGTGCCAGTAAGTGTACGACAGGCCGTCTTGGAATAGAATGTTCTCTTCGGGACTAGAAGTGAGCCTATGTTGATTGTTGAGTGATGGTGACAAACAGTTATGCACAGACCCTTAGTGCGACCGATCCAGTGATACCTGGAGCCGCATCGGAACTCGGCTTTGGGCATTTACAATTTACTTGTCATTAAAACTCTCACACACATTTATATTGTTGCATATTTCAGGATTGGCAGCAAAAGTTCGGCCCAAATAACTCAGATAAAATCACCCTGGTGGATGTTTGCCGAGTCCGTGGTGTGGATATCAAAGATGTGTAAGGATGCAATTTTTGCAATAGATTACACTTCTTAGGAGGAAATTCTACGGTCCGATGCCCGATGAACTGCGTGATGTAGAAATTATTGAATGTGATATGCCGTTGGCCATGAGGGTTCAGGTTTGCAAGGTCATCAACGAAGGACAGAAACGGTGTCCAGACGAGCCTGTAAGTAAAAAAGTTTTGAACCGACGTGTTTTTCGTCTAACAAGAGGTTATTTCCGTTTGGTGCCTTGTATTTAGCATGCAAACGTAGTTTCGCGATACTCAGTGATATTCATTCCTCTCCTAGTCCTTCGTCCAGCACATCAAGAAGACCTTGGATAACCAATTTGGCAAACTGTGGCACGTGATCACCGTCCACGGACGCTATTATTCCTTCTACACTTATGAAATGGGCTATAATTTTGCATTTAAAAAGAACGAATGCATTTTTCTTGTATACAAAACTCCAGATGTAGAAGACATTTGAAAGCACTACGTAATTATCAATTTTCATGTCGATTCGCTTAGGAGAAGCTAATTTATACAATCTTTGCTGTACAAAACAGTAAAAATAAAAATCCGTGAATAATTGCATTACTTATTCCCAAAGTGTTCACTGGCAACGGATTGTTGAGAGCCGGTACCGATGAAGAGAACTTTGGCCCTAATTGTGGTTTTCCAGAGCGAACGGCGTTCTTTTCGTTTTCGCACCGTTCTGGACCAGTGACTTACTCAAATAAGCTAGCAATAAAACAAAATCTTTTGATGCGAGTAACTTATGTGTAGATACAGCGATAGGGTGGATGTGCCAAAATATTCTCGTAGTATTACCATGTTAAACAGTAGTGGAAAAAGAAATCATTCAAGACTATGAAGTCTTGGATTGAAAGCTCTCTTCTTCGGGAGCGCAGGAACCAGAAAACTGGAACTATGAGTAAAATTTGTATGTGCCGCAATCCCAGTTAAGCGACAGCTGATATTTTCAACAATATCCATTAAACAGCGAACTTGACGTCCGTTCCAAAGCAAAAGTGCCGAAGTTGCTCTGATGGCCTCAGGCTTCATCTGAACTTTCCCGACAATAGACGCTATGCACGAAGGAGCGCCGAGAATGGCCCAAGCGTGGATTAAGTCATAAAATTATGCTTGCTTGCGGAAAGGTGTCCAAAATGGTTGGATCCCTTTGTTCAACAGTTGGAAGCTTTCCAACCCTCATGATGCAGATTAATACAAAAGATCACGAAAATGAATGGGTAAACTGGAAAGTTAGGAAATGGATTTCCTGAACAGGACACGCAATAATTTCGGATGCTGGTATGATATCACCAGTAGAAAATTGCATCTAAGTCCACCGTATTGATAGTGTGCATTAAACGTGGTCTAAACTCCAAGTTAGTGTTCGGAATCCGAAAAGTTTTTACTCGTTCAGTATTTGAAATCCGATTATCACTGAATGTTAGCAGAAGACGAATCTCAACAGTACAACGGTGAATGGACTATCGCATTCGAAAAATCTGATAAAAAAAATTAACAAACCAACCAATCAAAAACTTTTTTGCATCTTGAGCCAGGTACCACAAAGAAAACACAAACGAGTGCGTGCGATCCTATCCATAGGAACAAGATACCGCAGAATTGACAAGTTCCTCGAATTTGAACAGAACTGTGTCTCCGTTTACTCAATTTTGGTGAACGTTCGGACGCAACGGTGAGGAGATAAAAATCCACCAAAAATGTCGCTGCAGAAAAATGTTTGGCTCTCTTCTTTAAGAGTAAGGACCTGCAGAGCATGAGGTGGAAAGTGGTAACAAGCGACACCAGGTTCGAGCGAAACAAGCAGACATTCTAACATGCTTAGTTTATGAACGGGTTAGAAATGAAACTTATTCAACATGTTCTATAAGGATGCCTCATAAAGTGTATTTATCCGCTCAGAGAGGGGCAAAACAGAAAGTCTAATATTCTGGAAAAAAGACAAAACTATTATTTTGGCAGTACAATGGAATTAGTGATATATATGCCATCAACCTGGATGAGGAAAGGAAAACGATTGATTCTCATAAAAAGCCAGAAGAGGGGCGGGGCTTTTAGAGAAATATAAGAATCAATGTCCGCTGTGAATGGCGTTAGTTTCTTGAAACACTCATGCAAGCTTCTGACGAAATAGTAACCGCGATCAAAACGTTTGGCGGAGTTCTGTTAGCAAGAAGAGGATTGCTTCTGTCCAGTTACCATCAGACAAAGTGTACACACGTCCTACATTGTTGCTCTCAGAGACAACGCCCGGTAGTAAAATGAGAAATGTATTTCAATTTCTGTCCGTTGTTCTCAACACTTGAAAAGATCTCCAACGAGACCGGACGCTTGCATTTTAGTAAACTTTGGTGAGGTGAATTTAAGTATCATTCCCATCATTGTTGACAACAAACACTGGAGTGTGCGAATAATTGCCGCGGATACCAGATTAATAAGATACCTTTTTGGAGTTGAAGTCAAGAGAAGGCCCAGTGGTAATTTAGCATAGGCCTTTTGAAGGGTCCAAACCTTCAACTGGACAATCCGAAAATCAACTGAAAGCCAGTGCAATGAGCCGAAATCCATTTCTTGCAACACTCGCAACCAAGCACTGGAAGCTGAAAGATGAGGGAAATTGAATCCAACTTTACGTCATTACAATTCCTTCATACATTCACTTACTCCGCCCTCTTTGCTTTACACATTCGTATTTGCCATTCAACTTGCATAAAAGTAGCTCCGGCCAACACCTGCATAATGGCGTTTTTGCATGTCTGTGAATGTGCGCAGATGGCCTGCTCGTGCTGCTGAGTATGCTCTTACTTGGTCCGTCTTGATTTCCCTGGGAGTGCAACAGCAATCAGAAGCCTAATGATAGTTTCAGAAGGGACGACCGCAACCCACTCAACCGAGCTAACGTTCTGGTCGGCGTTCTGTAGTGTGCGGATCTTAGTGCTGCACTGGGTAGGTTAGCGACAGACTTGCGTATTGCCGACATCGAGAAAGTGTAATCTGAGGTTTGTTTTTACAATTTTGTGTGACTAATCCCGTAGACTTTTGAACCCAATTCTCTTTATTGATTTTCGGGACCGTCAAATCACCGCGTGACTCATGATACCGTGTCGGGAACCTTAACAAAGGGTTTTCGTTATAACTGGGAGCTTCTAACTGGAAGATAGTGGTCTAGTTCAAATGCTCTGTCCTAATCCATATGAAATGCTTTACCAGGTAACACGAAGAACGGCCACATTCAGAGAGACTCATGTGAATCACATTCAGAAAGCTGTGAACAGACTGCAACCCCGATCATATTTCATGCTGCCAAGTCACTGTTTACACTATGGTGACGCTGTACTACCATGCTATATATAAATCCTACTCTTTAATGCGGCGTTTTCTGTTTACCTATTATTTTCTCAAATTATACCGACCTGCAAAATCTGTTTCCCGATCAAATATCCACAAATTGCTTGCCAATACTTTTTTGAATCCAGAACTTAACACGCCAGACCGGACTCTGGTTGATGAAACTCAAGCTGATGGCAGCCGAACAGCTGGAGACGGCCAGCATTACGAAGATTTGAGCTAATCACCAGAATCAGGAGCTATCGATGTCCCCGACCGATAAAAAATGGCTTGATGTGGTAAGATCTCATGTGTGTCTGCGGAGAACAATTCACACCTGAGGTCAAATGAAGTTCCAATGTGTGATCACGACTATACATTTCTCTTCGCGTCTGGATTCAGTCCACCCGAGCCTAAGATTGCATTGTCACAGTCATCGACATAGGGATCGTCGCATGTATCGCTTTGTGCAGTCATGCGGTCTCACGTATTCTAAGGCATTCTAACACCATAAGCAACTGATAAGGGCCTGCCTTCTACTGCTTATCGCGCCTATAATGGAGCCTCAGTTTTTTCTGGCGATTAGTCATTTGATAGTGACAAACCGTCGTGAAGTGCTTCTGGGGTTATTTTCAAGCTTGATTTTCAGCTGCGGTTAAACCTTGAGAGTAGTAGATGTGTAGGTTTGCGTACAATACCTCATGCATAGTGTAAAATATATAAAAAAAAACAGTGAATAAACTATTGTGTTTGAAGCTGGTACTTCAGGCAGACAGTATGTGATCAGCAAACGGCAGTCCAGGCATTCACAGCCTTATCCAAAAAACACCTGTAAGTCCACAGCTGCATAAAAGGTTCCCGAAGTTGGGCTAATAGTAGCACTTATGCAATACACCCACCTTGCCTAAGGGTGTATTTAGTGAAAACGAACTAGGTATTAGTAAAACGAACACACAGAACAGCAAGTAATTGGACCGGCTTCAAATGGGTCGTTTTGATCGGACAAATGCGCATGATCTGCCAAGGTTAGCACTTTTAGTGGTATCTTAATGTCATTCGGACGACTTGTGAAATTTCTGCGCGATTCTAAAAATGAATTATTTTTAAAGTTTGTGTTATTTCAAAGCACTTGTTCTGATAAATTGTGAGAAATTTAATCAAAAGAAGAATGTCTATACCCAGATGGATGTACTCTGAAGGCACGAAAGACGACAATAAATAAAATGTCATTCCACAACAGTCTAGGTCGAAATAAATGAGACGTCGACACTTTATGTTCTACCGGGTAGCCAGATATCAACACTGATTACTCACAAAAAGTCAAAATTTCAATTATTTGTCATAAGACGATTTCAATACTGCTTTTTTATTTGAGCTGACAGTTGTCTTTTATTCAAGGTCCCTGTGGAGTATTCCACATATTTCGCGCAAATCTGAAGAAGAGATAATTATTTGCAGAGGATCTTGCCAAGTTAAATCTTGACACCAGAATTGGGGCTCGTAAATACAGCAGACCGGTATTCAGAATTGATTCCTCAGATAATACACTTTTGACTGTGTACAGGATGTAGTTATACCCTGACATACCTTACATATGAATGACTGCACGTCACCGTTACACCAATGAAATGTTTCTCAATCGCTATCGACAGTCTACATCCTACGGGACAGTTTGCTGCTCTTATGTTAAGAATACACAGCCTTACGTATCTCAACCCCCAAGCGAGAAATGCAAGTAGTTTTATTTGTTAGGTTTCTATTCATTTCTTAAGCCGATATGGGGGACCCTGCCGGGGTGTAGTGAGATGTCAGGGACAGCTTAGTTGAGCCTAAACGTAGGAGACTCCAAGGTCTCGAAAGAGCTGAAAGAAGAAGACGTGGAAAGACAAGCGAGTAAACGGCAAGTGCTGATAGAATACTCCAGCTCAAGTGATGATTATTGAAGGTAACAGACTCAAACGTTCATATATTGACAATGGTTTGAGATACAAAACATAAAAATGAGTGTGTGGATTCTTACTGGAAAAGGAAATAAGCCAGAAAAAGGATAAACCAGTCAGCACCTATGTGCGATATGTGACTCCCACGTCATGCTGACTGATTGGAATTGCGTCAGGCTGTATGATTTCAGGGTTCAGCAACCACCAATGAAATGGATCACCCGGTATGTTGCCAGCAATATGGCTACTTTTTGCAGGTCCGACAGGCAGCTTGGCATGGTACCG